ATAGTAGTTCAATAAAATTTTGAATGCATGTTAAGAAACATGATGACATGGCCTTTGACCCGTGACCCGTCTGGAGAGGGTTAATATGGTAAAACACTAATTATTTTTTCATCAAGTCAAGAAAAAGAAAGTTTACATGCACAAGTGCCCAAGAAACTAATAGTTTTTTTGTTTGGCCTTATACGTATTTTTCATTACGAGTTATTTTGCACTGTTAACTTAACATATAAATTTAGGACAAACCTCCATCTCCTACGTTAGTTAAAACTGGAGATACTGCTAGGACTATGGCCAACACTACCAATAAAGCAATCATACCAAACTGGTGAATTAATGCATCCTAATTATTATAAGCATTTGTTTTATGATATTACATACTCCTAGTTAGACTGATATATTAACTACTTTAATTAGCGAGTAATTTTAATAATATTTGGGTAACTCAGAGTTGGGCAATTAATTCATTTAATCTATTGCCTACAAACATCAATTATATTGATTGGTATCGTGTGCAATAATCGATTAATGTTGAAATTAGTGTTTAATATTATTAATGATTTATCATTATTATTTTTGATTAACTGAATGTTATTCAGCTTAATTGATTAGTGTCACAACTCACAAAAATAATCAACTAACTAAATTAGTACTTCAATCCATTACAACTTTCAAGTTTCATGTGAGAACAACTGATTAGTTGAATGTAACTGATATACGAGCCTGATACTGAATCAATTAGCAAATTTGATCGGAAGGTACTGATAATTATGAAATGTGATTTCTGTCAGAACTGTGTTTTTTGTAGAGCAAAACTACATTATAATAACTGCTGTAACTACTGCAGGGAATCAAACCCTGGATTTTAGCATTGTAAATCCACAGACCCACCAAGGGATTGTCAGAACTGTTAAAAATTCAGTTGTCAAATAAAATATTAACATGAAATTAACCTTACTATCATCAACAAAATAGAAACATCAATGAAATGTAAAACCTTTTGTTTTTATATAAATTTAAGTTTTAGCTTACATAATTTAAAACAACATTCTGTAGAAAATCAGAGCTTCTAAGCCTAGCGATACGTTGTGTTATATAAAAATACTATTTATGAGGACATAATTATTTTTCACTGTCATGATATAAGACTGTTTAGTTTAGATATTATTGATCAATTTATTTTTGTGAGTGAATATTTTATTATTGTTTAGTTTTTGTTATAATAAGAGATAAAAGCAGATGATTGTAGGAATTTGTTCTTATAAGTCACTGATGTTGAGACTATCAAATGCTGCGTGCAATGCACTGACGTAGAAGATGAGCAAACGATTAAGTGATAGACATATAAATAGCGTGAGACAAGCGGAAACAGCAGACAGATAATTGCAAATGAGAGTAAAATTACAGGCCAAGGAAAAGTTAGACACGAAGTTAACTAATGATTGACATAGGGCTAATGTTTAATATGTTAGAGTAAGACTAACAGTAGAAAAGGAGATAAGAATAATAATTTTTTCCATCAAAGCATGGTTCTAAAGTAATTGAAACAGCCTGAGTGTACTTTGATAAAAGAAACAGAGGATATTTACAAGAAAGAAGACCAGACAATTACAATAACTCATGCCAAAACTGTAAGTGAATCACACACCGAATACTAGTGTGATAGTAACAGAGAAGATAGTTCAGCTTATCAACCGAAATTCTAAAGTAATTGAATAGGCCTAAGTGGACTTTTGACAACAAGAAGAGAACTATATATAGTGTCTATGATATACCTATAATCTCTATAGAGTGAATAACCTGTTGTACATATGTTTAACTTGTTCTGAATATATATATATATATATATATATA